GCGCGGTGGTGGGTTACTGCACGCGGGGGGCAGCTCCCGCTGAGGCCGTCAGCCAGGCTGCCGTACGGGGACCGGGAAGCTGCCTGGTAGCAGCGAGGGGAAGCAAAAGTCAAGAAGGGATCACTGAGATGGGGCAAAAGAAAAATTCAGCGCTAGCAGTTCTTTAGGAAATGATGGTGCTGGTGCGGGGGTTCTTAGGTGGGTACCAAGCACACGCGAGGTACGCGGCAATTCGTCCGCTGTGCGCTGGTATGAAGTGTCACTGGGTGATCCTTCTGGGTCCGTGGGCTGTGGAAAAGCGTTTCAAGTACGTGACGATGAGAGTCCCCTCTTTCTTACACCGACACTGGGAAAGACCATTCAGTAAAGAAAAGAAAAAGTAAAGAAAAGGTCTCTAAGAATGGCAAAAAATATTGCCGGTACTTTCCCTCTGATTGCCTGCCTGCCTTATCACCAAATAAAAAATGGTTCTTTTGAAACTGTGCACCCAACGCTACCTGTAGTGCTAGGCTCATCTCGACCTTTTCATACACTTCTCCAAATACGTTTTCCAGGAGCATTTAGAAAAAAAAAAACAGAATTAGAAGTGGCTTTTCAAATATTTGGAAAGCAGATACCACCGACCCTTTAATTCATTGGCATTGCACTGAAAACTGACACTGAAACCCTTCATAAATTGCCTGCCCACAGAATCAGTGATTTTCCCTTTTCCTGGTGAATACACCAGACCATCGTACATAACAACGTTTTTTACGCCCACTGAAAACCTTCCTTCCTTCCTTCCTTCCTTCCGTAACCCTCTTCCCCCATCCGCAAAAGGCTGTTCCCATTGGAGACAGCCACCGGATTCCTTGGCTCAGCTCTCCACTTCCACGGGATCTGTTTGACAAGAACCAAATCACTTTGCTTTGGAAAGTAAAGCTTTTCCTCCTCCGCTTCCCCGTATCTCTCAAGCCAGATTTGGACTACTTCCCTGCTCAGGCTCTGCCTCTCATCATTGCCCCTCCAGCCATCCTGAACTATTATTTCCAAAGAAATGCGGAGCCTTAATCCTGTTACCATTAGCTCCCATTTGCTTTAAATCTTCTCCCTGTGGAGTTCCACAGCAGGAGGGGAAGACGGCAGCCAGTGCAGTCAGTACGTACACACAGGCTCATTTCCCCCAGGTACGGTGCTCCCCGATCATCCACTCGAGGGGGATTGTCACCCGACGGCCACTTCCACAGCAACGAGCATGGAAGATGCCACCAGCGCCTCGAGGCCCCTTCTCTGGGCTGCAGCAAAAAGCAGAGGTTGTTCAGTGAAAGCTCCAGCTCCAGCCCCTGCAGCACCTCAGCAGATGGAAGTGGCAGCGACACGATGCGCGTCAGCTCTCCTGTCACCAGCGCAAGGGCCCTCCTCGAAGAGCTTTTCCCGAAGCGGAGGTGTTGCGGTCCGGTCTCCCCCCTCACGGGTGGATTCCCCAGCTCCCGCGCAAACCAGGCTGGCTCCTGAAGCACCACGGCCGCCTCCGTAGAACTCTGCCCTCAAGTCCCACTAAACCCAGTCTCTCCAGGGGGGCCCTGCAGGCCGACGCCCCAGCACTGCGGGGTCAGCAGGGCTGGGTGGGCTCAGACACGTCGCTCCTGGTTTTGGAGCCGGGCAGGTTCTGGCTGCTGAGCGGCGCTGGCTTTTAAAGGCAGTCAGCCTGGCCTCGAGGGGCTGCGCTGAGGAGCACGCTGCAGAGACACCTCAGTTTGGGAGATGCTCTTGGTTAGGACCCTCCCTTTTCACCTAGACAAATCCAGCTTGACTTTACTCTCTCCTGGCCTCCCACTGTTCTCCCCATACGCAATGAAACCAGAAAGTCCGATCATGAAAATTTAAGGGGGAAAACGTTCCCAAGAAAAGCAAGTGTCACTGCAGCTTCACTAGCACGGTCTGTCCCGAGTTCCCCGCGATTTCAGTCAGATGACAACACGTGCAATTTGTGGAATCAGTTGCGAAAACTCTGCTGCTGGGAAATGATGTTTCTCCAACCCCAAACGAAGTTGGGGCTCGAGGTTCTGAAGCAGCGTTTTGAAAGAGCTCGCAAAGGTAGTAAAACAGCAACAGTGCAGTTCTACGAAGTTAGGGATTCAGGGAAGCTATTTAATGTGAAAAATCTCACCGCTGGCTGAGCCAGAGGAGGACAGCTTTTTTCCAGTGTATCAGGTTATAGACATGCAATTCTCAGTACGCTTGCCTTATGCACGCAATAATTATCTACACTAAAAGGATGGAAAAAAAAAGGAAACATCCCAGGCAGTTTATAACCACGTAAGTTCAAGAAAAAATCTTGGCTGTAGCTTAGCCATGGAGTTTGCCATAACATAAAAATATCTTTCTTGCCTTTGAGGATAAAGTTTCTGGCCAGTAAGAGTTGTTCTGTGGTTCCTGGAGAAACAGAGCTCGAAGAAAGACTAAGACAGCAAAACCACAGACAACTAAAGAGGGGCATGGGATCACCAGAGTTCCCAGCTTTTTCTTCTCTCCGCACACGTTACTGCATTTGTCAGCACGTGCTGGTTTTAATACACCTGGAAATGAGCAGAGGTGGTGCCATCTTTCCAGCAACGCAGGGTTTCTACTGTGACAGAACGACAGAGAGGACAGGTCTTCTCCCTGTCAAACCAGAGGCAGAGGCATTCTTCACAAAACACATGCTGTGGAGACAAAAGGGCATCATCACGGTGAGGGCAGGAGGTCCAATCCCGTCACAAGGGTGCACGCTCAACACAACAGCCCCGGGAGCCGGTAACGGTTCAAGTTCAGGCGGACAGTGCAGCTGACTAGCAGTACTCACGTGATATGAAAACCAAATCCCAGCATCACTAGTACCTCAGCTTGCTGAAGCTCATGATACCTTACCCTGTTTCTTAATACAGCAATGGAAAGAAACATTAAGGCGACCTAGGACGTTTGCGCTAACGAGTAGCTGGGAGGGTTTTCTCCACCCTGTTTCCATCCTCAATTCCCGGGGTTATTTTACACGTCTTTACTCAGCTCAAACCACCCCCTTTCTCCCCTCGACTCCTTACTGCTTTGCTTTTTTCTGCTCACACCACCCAGCCCTAGCCAGTAGCTTCGCAGGCCCCGTTTCCCCTTCTCTATAAACATCACCCCTTATCTTCTCCTCTCGTTTCTACACTGAGGCACAACAGGATTCTCCCTCCGGGCTGCCATGGGTACAAACAGAGATCAGGAGGGACGGCTGTCCATCACACAGCCCCATCTACCCCAGGCTGCAAGAGCAGGAACAGGGCAAGAAGAGAGTATTGTGAGCCATGAGAAGCTGAGACCTCCTCAACACGTGCAGAAGTCAGCAGAAATGTTACTCATCAAAATCTCAGCGCTGATAAGCACGTACGAAGCTTCTCTGGGGCTTAGCGCTTGATAACATCTGCACAGATGTTCACAGGAATAGTAAGAGGCGTCTGATGCACAGGAGACCTACTTGCTTTAATTTGATAACCCTGTTCTAAAGCATGGGAACCTTAATGCTCTTCAGAAAAAGGCTCTTGAGCTTTATTTTGATGTCCCAAGAGAGCATCTATCCCACCGATTCCATTCCCAGAAATGGCTGAATCATTCTGCCTGAGGTTTTCCTGCACGCACCCACACGTGGCCCACAGACAGCCTCCACGACGCGGAACTTCAGCCCCAACAGACAAAGTTGTTACAAAAGCACCTAAAGAGAAAATCTTGGGGAAGCACCACCAGCCTCGCCACGAGGCAACGCCTTCAGCTGCCCTCTGATACCGTAACAGAACCCACGGCAGCACGGTGTGTTCGAAGGGTTTCACCTGCACCAGATGAGGACCACTATGTTACTCAGAGCGTGCCATTCCTAGGCTCTAGGTTTTCCAGCGTTTACCAAACGAGAAGCAGGACAATTCCCAGTGGTGACCGACTTCCACACGCAGAACTACTTTGATTCCTGGCCAGGTGTTCCGAGGCCAGACCGCGATTACCCGGTGCTGCAGCAGCCTCCACGCACCCTACCAGGCTCGTTCTGGATCTACGCCCCTCTCATAGCACTGGCTCTTAATTTGGTTGCCCTATGGACTAGCCAGTCTCTCCCAGGGCCAGATAAAAATGTCTTGCACTCTAGATCCAAGATCTGGGCTGCCAACTGGCAGTCCCTGGACTACTAGGTGGTCTTTTCCATCTCGTAGCTAGCTGCGATCAGCCCCTAAAGAGCAGCTCAGCTACCACAAATCACTGGCTATCCGGAAGAGGGCAACAAATATCCACTGGGACCTACACCAAGACCCAGCAAATCATTTTAGAAGCCCCTAGGCTAACTGTGCCTCTCCCCAGCTGCAGAAGGCAACCAAAGGAATGCCAATGGGGGAACCTGACGTGGGAAGCTCGGGGTCTTACCTGGCACATAAGGATCAAAGGTTCCCGGAATTCTGCTTGGCAAATGGCACAGATGTCACCTGCCTCGCTGCACTGCTGGCTGGTAGCACGAACTCCATAGGTCTGTTAGGGAGAGATGGGAAAAAAATCCCCGTGTCAAAGGGTTTGAAGATAAGCTGGTTTGTGGCTAAGCATATACGTAAGATACTGGTTTTCACAGCCATTTCCCTGCACGACCTGGGAAGGACACCGGCGTTGTGTCACTGTGTATGGGGACGGGAGATTTGGGCACCAGCGCACAGAACAGAGGGTGTCTGGAGCGCTGCGTTCTCTGTTTTGTTTTCCCCTCGAGCTGACTCCATCTTCTAGTGCCTCCACTTGTGGAGCAATGATAATGAAATTTAATGAGCTCAACAGGGAGCTGAAAGGATTAATTCAGCATCATTTGCAGAGGTGTTTAGATAGTGGGAGGTATTATTATTAGCAAGTTAGACAACAGAAGAAAGAGTAACAGCAGCAGCACCCACAGGCTTCCCACTTCTCTTTTTAAACATGCGGAAGGTAAATGTTGCTTCTCCTATTGTGACAGGGGAAATGGAAACATGCTGAGGAAAAACAACTGGCCCAAGCCCACAGAATAAGCAAGGCAAGCTCTAACAAACTTCTGTGAGTTTATGTTCTTTTTCTCCATGGTCTGATTCTCCCATTTTAAAATGTACGTTACAGCATTTCACTGCAACAGCTCTACATGTCAGTACCGTATCAGCGATGCCTGGGATAATGTCTGTGTGCTGTAGGATCTCTTAATGTCACTGCCCATCAGGCACTACATACTTCTATCTACAGTCTTTCTCACACTCTGCACTACAAAGTTTCGTCAGCTGCTTGCAGTGTTGGCCTCAATGGATTAACCCATATTACACAGGGCTTCCACTCAGACAGAAGAGACCAGCCTAGCGACAATCTCTTACCCCAGCTGGGACAAGGCAGGTACCAGAAAAGGTTCTAAACATCCCTGACGAGATAACAGCTTATCCAGCCATGCAACAACGATTTATTTTACTCTCTGATCCTGATACACTGAACAATTTTCAACTCCATCATTCAGTAGTAACAAAGTTCCACCCATGAACCAGCTCTAATACGTGTGACTACTTACCTGTGGGGTGCAAAGGACCTTCAGTGCCTTCCGGACACTTCCCACACGACCACAGATGTCAAAAGACTGCAATAAAGACATTCCATCTTAGATACTTTTCACCGAATGTGGGTGTGTGCGGATGCGTGTGTGTGTGTGTAGAGTGCAGAAACTCACAAACAGCGCCTCCAAATGGATACTCGGCGGGAACAAAGATCCTAAGTAACAGTGGTGCCAAAAAAGATTTCATGGTGATCATGACATACGTGATAAACGTAAATTGACAGCGCAGAAGGGAAGCCAAGAAAGCTCTGGTAACAACGGACTGCAAATCAGGGACTTTACAGGAAGAAAGAGGAGATAAAAACCAGGGAGCTGCGGTAGGGTAAATTGCCCAGCCCCCTAAGTAGGAAAGGGCTAACAGGGACCCGTTCCCACCCTGGGAACTGAGTACCTCAGAAGCCCAGAAGCAAGGTTAGAAAACCCTGCGGCTAGCTTGAGAAAGAGGGAAGGAAGGGCAGTCTTTTCACGTGGAAGAGGCAGAAAACAGATTTCCTCAGCCTCTGGGGAAAAGGGGGATTTCCAGGGCTGGGTGGCTCTGCCACACAGCCTGACACTTCAGGGCCCAGATGATACTATGAAAGAAGGAGTGGGAATTGCCTGTCCTGCTGCAGAGTGATTTAGCAGAGTGCAGTGCTTAGATGTTGCCAAGAGAAGAACGGCCTGAGGAACGAGAAGCAGGACTTGAGGCTGAGTTGCTCCCATCCACCTAAAGAGTGAGAAACTCCAAATGCCCTGAAGGGAGCAGGTTTCCAGCACCCTGGTACTTTGCAGATGCCCAAAGATGGCCAACAGCAGGGACACCACCAGGTCCTTTTCTTTCCCTCTCCCTCCACTGGCCAGCAAACACGGTCTAACTGCATCTGGAGAGCAGTGCTCACTCTGGGCTCCTCATTAAAGACTAAAGGCAGTTCAGAGATGGGCAGAACAGGAGCCTGCAGAAAATGATTTCTGCAAAGAGACTAAAAGACATACAAATATTTACAGCTTGGCTGAGCAGTACAAAAGTGGGGGAAAAGATAATAAACTGCCTACAAATATCAAGGGGCTGAGCAAGTGAGGAGACACTCAGCATTCTTAAAGTGAAGACAAGGTACTACTAATAAAAGGGAAACCAGCTTGAAAACCTAATCCCGTATGCCAGCTTCATCTTCCCTATCTGCTGGCAGAACACGAGGAAAAAGACACTACGAACGAGACAAGACATTAAAAAGTGACTGTGCAAAGAACAGCCCTGCCTTAGCGGGGAGAAGGGCCAGATGATGTAACAGGACCTTTCCATTTCTAGCCTGTCGGAGTGAGAGAGGAGCGGCAAGGAGAGCAGGGGAAGACGGGATGCAGAGCAGGCAGAGCTGTCGTGGACCAGCAGCACAAAGGCACCAGAATGCCTGGAGCTGGCTTTCTATTTTTTTTTTTTTTTTTCAGTTAGCATGATTAAGTGGGCTCACTGCAGGGAATGCCAATGAGATCATCGTGCAATAGATGTGGAATCAAATGAAGGCACCAATAATGCTTCCAGTCAGCACGCAGAAAGGCTCCCGGGGTCCTTCCAGTAATGCACCCAGTCAGCAACTAGCCCTTGAGGCTGCCGACTGCTACGGACTTTTTATCTTCTGACGAGGATAGGGATCAGCTCTCTCCCACAGTCCAAATCACAGCTTTTCCTGGCTGCTTTGCTTACGGCGTGACTTCTGATGCCTTTGCTCTGGCTCTGACGTCTCCTCTTCTCCCAGTCCATTTCCTCCTTCAATCTTTTTTTCCCCTGGGGTTTCCTGTACCCCCAAAAGATGCAGGTTTCAGTAGCCTAACTTCCATTTATCACCCCTCGCACTGAAGTCTATGTTGCATCAGTCACCTTTCTAGCAATGTCATTGCAACAATTGGGTTCACAGACAGTGAGTGCTTCTGTTCAGGATAGGAAAAAATGACTTGGATGCCCTTACTGGTGAACATCTGGGATTTGTTTGCCAAAATCAGAGAGGGTCATGTTCACACAGTCCAGACAGAGACACCAAGACAGCTCCTGTATACAACCTTCTGAAAGTCAAGCCTGCCTTTTGTGTAGGAAAAGGGGATGCAGCCCTAGCTGAGCCCTGGATTTTTGCCAGGAGCACAGAAGGTCTGAGTGCCAAATTGGCTTCTGTGGTTTTTCTAATGTGGTTTGTGGCTTTGCTAATGTGGACTCCTCTGGGTATACTTTCAGTGTCTCAGGCAAGGAATTAGACCTGCAGCTCTTGTGACTGTAAATGGGATGCACACACCTAGTATTTCATGATCCAAAAAAATCCCGGTTGGAGGAGCGTGCTCCCACTTTTCTTTCACTTCCAAGCAAAGTCTCCAGCGTGCAGAGGTCTAATCCTAACCTGGACTCATCTGAGGTACTAAGTAGCTGCCACATGATGACCTGGGACATGTTCTTGGAGCTACCACGCTTCAGCTGGCCTACCCCTCCACTTACACCTCTGATGAACCAGATGAATTAAAGGAAGAAACATGCATGTCAAAGGCATAGGCTGTAGCCAAGGCACTCTTACAAAAGTGTGCCCCACAGTCCTGGTCCTAAATTCTAGTCAGGGCCAGTAAATAGCTGTCCTCTCCTCATGGAGCTTCTAAACAACAGATCAGTGGAACTTTTCAAAACAAACTTGCTTTTTCAATCATCTGGATCGTCACAACACTACCTGTAAAGGCTTCAGAGTACAGAAACGTGATGTTAACCCACAAAGAACTGCTTGCACGTCTGTGTCAGGGCCGAGTGGATTAGCAGGCCTTCACGGCCCTGGCGAGCCTCACCTGGGATCTCCACCCACAACCCCTGCCCATGGGCCCAGGAGCTCTATTTAAGCTCAGCCCTGGAAGCCTCAGTTCACAGCTGAACTGTGCTATGCAGGTGCTGGTTTCCAGTTCAGCCATAGCCATGTCTGTGCCTAGCTATGGAGACTGCTGAGACTTGCAGTTGTTGGACTGTGTCTGACCCCGGCTGACTTCACCAGACCTGAGGATTGATGTTCTGGCTTTACCTTGGACCTGCCTCACCACCTGAAGATGTGGACTCTTTGAACCTAGCTATCGCCCTGCTTGCCTTGTTGGGTGCTGCAGGGCTGGGCCCTGGCTGGTGAGGCCCTTACCCTGCCAGCTGTGTTCCTGCGTGTGGTTCCCCTTCCTCCAAGGAGCAGATGGTCCCCACTGCTTCTCCACACTGAGAACTTCTCCACATGTAAGAAATGGCATGTAGAACTGCAGGTAAGCATCCCTTTTCCAGGTGTTGAGTAACTTTTGCAAGAAGGGACACCAGAAAGGTCACTTGAAATCTGTCCTTGTCACTGTGATCTGTTCACCTGACCTCACAAGCCAGAAGGGCATGGAAGGGTTGGATACTGCTGCCTAGAGCAGATCCAGACAATGGCATCTCTGGAAGGGGCAACAATCCTCTCCCACAGCACACAGTAAAGAGCAGGAAACATGCAGTTGAGAGGATGGATGGGTGTGCAGGGAACTAGGCTGGTCTTATGTGCCTTCTATTCTGGCACTGCTTGCTCTGTTTCTTGCTTGATCACAGGCCTGCTGTGACCAAGTCACTTCACTTCCCATGACCTCCCCTGCCTCTCTTGCTTAAAAACCCTGTAAATTCCTTGACACCAGGGGTTGTATTGCCCCCTTCCTATATAACACATGGTTGCAACTGCAGCCACATCTTGCATAAGAGCTATAGTATGATTTGGTATTGCTCAGCAATCCATTAGACCCTCTGAGCTGTTTGTAGCTCAGATACAGTCTCTCTTCTTCGTTCCTCAGTCTGGTTCTGCAAAGCCATAGCCCTGTTCTCCTAGGCAGAGACAAGTATGAGGGCTGCAGCAAGCTGGCCTCCCTTGGCCTTTCTCAGAGGAATGGATAACCCAGCTATGTCATTGTTTGCTTCAGCTAGTGCTCTGTCCCCAGGCAGGGTTCAACACACAATTAAAAATACAACTACTTCTAGACCTCAGACTTGGGACTCTTCTAAATGAGTCACACCTACTCTGTATAGGCAGACTTTGTGCTCTTAGCATTTTTATCTTTGAGGAAACATTAATCACTCTTGTTCATCACTGAGATTCTGGACTTGTATCAGCCAGACCAGGGCCTAGAATGGGGCCAAAACTACTTGTTTTACCTAGGCAGGACTTGGCTGACCCTCCCTCTCCCTACTGCATTCAGTACTGTGAGTGACAGAGCACCTACCCTGCCTTGAGAGACAGACAGGCTTGGACAGAAACATTTAACTGTCTGCAACCTTCCTTTCAGTGTTGCACCTAGAAGTCTGCAGACAGCTAACATCTCCTCCAGTACTGGTCCCCCAAGACTCCACTCCCATTCTCCTCTAGCCTTTATAGAAAGGTATTAAAAAGCGGCAATGACTTCATCAGCCTGATGCAACACTACATGAACAGTCACAGATCTTCCTGTAGCTCGCCCATGCCCACATACTGGCAAAGCAAAATGCTTTTGGCAACTAAAGCACATGGTGTCCCCAGCTGCTGCAGCAACCCTTCCTGAGTAGTGACAGCAACAATCAAAAGGTCTATTTGTTCCCTTCAGCTGTGGTTTTTTCCTCTGTTCTTGCTACAGCTCCTGTAGGGGTTATTAATGAGGTGGTACTCACCTTGCAGAGGCTGTACAGGATGATCAGGATCCCCCCCAGAAAGTAGCTGCTGGATGGATCATCTCCCATGATGTATTTATACCATAGCTGGATGGGGACAAGGGAGCGGAAGAGCTGGCTCAGCTCCTCAATAATCAGATAAAACTTTCCCTGTAAAAGGACCAAACAAGCGATACATGGTTATTATCGGGAAGTCAAAAGAAGAGCACTTAACAGGTGCAGGGCTTGAAGCTTATAGGGCTTGTGCTCCCTGTTCACCCACGCACTCTGTTGAACAGCACAAAGACCAGCGCTCACGAGATGCAGCTTTCCTTGCAGCCACTTCACTCTGTGCCTAGAAAGAGTAACTATCACTTCATTTCATAGTGTTCCTCTTGCTCTGTCACTTACCCAGCTGTTACACTTTTGAATCTTAAACTTTTAGAGCAGGTTATGGATATACACCTTGTTCCATAATTTGGACAATGCTACAGAGTAGTAGCAGCAGAAGTTAAGGTTTACAGGGATTAATATTATGTAAGTTGTAGATACTATTAATAATGAGAAAAGGAAGGCAAGACAGGTAGGTCTCTTTGATCTTATACCCTTTCTGAAGGTACAGGGATTAAAGGTAAGGTGGCACTGGTCATCCTGACAACTTTCTAGATCATCCCAAAGAACCAAATTAATTATATATTTGCCAGCATCCTCCCCCTTCCACTCAGGTGTGTGTTGGCTCTTGTACAGTACACAGATAAAGACTAGCACTGGGAAAAACAAACCCTCGAGGCATTTTTAAACTTAAAGATACCAAACCCTTCTGAGGACCTTAAGGAAGAAAAGGAGGGAGGGGGGAAGCATGCTGGTTGAAACATTTCTCTCAAAAGAGACTCAAAGAATGGGCAACAACCTTTGCAAACCTTCACCAAAGCTGTCCTTGCCATTCTGATGCTTACTCCAGGTAGAAAGCTTTCCTTCCTTGAAGGACACACGCAAGGTAACAAACTCCATCCTGGCTTGCTACAACCATGAGGTGCAACAACTGAAATGGATTTTTCTTACCACATAATTTCTATCGTAAAGCACGTAAGATTAGGGAAGCTGGCTAAATAAGGGTATGTAATTTAGAGACCCGCAGTCTTAACAAGGCATTGTTTATATTCTGTCCCACCCTGTTCAAAAGGGAGAACTGGGGACAGGGCACTAGGTCAGGGCAAGCTGTGAGCCCAGAACTATACTTAGTCTGCAATGACATTATCAGGACTGAAAGATCTGGTTTTGACATGTCAAAATTCTTTTGTTGGATAAGATCACGGAGAAGGGGAAATTCCCCTGGAATTTTGCTGTGTTGTCCCAGCTAGTTTTGTCATCAGTGATGTCATCACAGGTCAATTGTTAATTGGTGAGATTTGGAGTGGGGATTAAGTCCTCCGCAGTCCACGAGGCTAGCAGCAGCAGCTAGCGCCCTTCCCTAGGGTCTCAGAGATGAGATCACTCGGCAGGCCATCCTGCTGTACCGAACAAATCGAATCCTTCAGAGAGCTCTGGCATTCTCATGATCTCATTTCCCCCCTGGGACAAGGAGTGAGGTCACACCAGTGGTTGCTAACGGACCTGAGCTGCTTTCTTCCTCTCCCCCATCCCCTCCTCCTTGTTAATCCCAGGTGGCATCACATAGCAAAAACGTAACAGCAACAATCTGGGGTCCTAAATGCAAGCAATTTATTAAATTAGCACAGAGGTCTCTATCCAGCCTCATGCTTCAATACAATCATCATTTATTTCAGGAGCCCCTGTGACAGAGGGTCGCAGTCTGCTAATGACTATGCTGTCACATCCTTCCCTTCACACAGGCAGTTCTCTGTCTCCCCCTCCCCAGCCAGCTCTGATGAAAGCTACCAGCAAGCTAAAGGCAGCAAACTGCTTTCTCTGACTTGTTCCTCCCCGCAGGCTCTCACTCATCCGCTTTTATTTAGCCTTGCTTCCCTAGCAGGCTGGGCTGGGACAGGTCACTGCTTACTTTCTCATTGCATCAGACAGAACTTGTGGATGCAGCATTTGGAGAATCAAAGCGGAAATTCTTCTACAACAGAAGCTCTTGAGGCACTAGAACGCTAGAGTCTACAGCAAGATGTAAGGAAAGATGGGTCACAGGCAGCCCTAGAGGTCCAGACAAGCTGTGGAATTGCAAGCGGCAGAGTGGGGCTCTAAAATGAACATGCAGCAAGTGACCAATTTCAATTTTCTAACCACAATCTCCACTGTTTACAAAGCTTTCATAATTCCATTCTCTAACGCAAATCTTCTGTTTTCAATGGTAACTATCAGGATTGCTTAGCAGCTAGATACTTGTTAACCCTCACAAGAATGAAGTCAAGTTTTAAATGGATGCATCTCTCCATCCAGCCCATTAACACCACCCACTTGATCATTTAAGAGGGGCCTGTTGATAAGCTTAGAGGGATTAGAGCTAGGAGTGAAGCAATAAAAGGACAGCTGAGTGGCATCTAGAAGAGAGCTCGGGCTACAGCAAGTGTTTACAGAAATGTAAGTCTTGTCAGGCATCTTGGTCATCAGTGCAACACACCAGCCCTTTCCTAAACTAGGAAAAGTGCCTAGAAATCGGAAGTAATTCTGCAAAGGAAGGCACCAGAAGTGGGGTCTTCCTTCTGAGCCAGAAGCTTAGAAAACAAGGGTTGTTCCCTGTAACTTCAGCAGCAAAATTTAACCTTCTGATAGCAATAGCTTATAGCAGACGGCACCCATCACTTGTAAGCACACTCAATATACCTTTCTGTCTTCTGCTTTTCAGCTTTTCTACATCTTGGCTATCTAGGTTGAAGTTTTCAAAGCCAAATCTTTGTTTCAAGCTGTAGTTCATCTGAGAACTTCAGCTAAAGTATTTCACCTACTTCTCATCAAGATCAGGAAAAACTGTGTGTTATATTAAGCACAATATAATTGTCTCCTGTGCATCTGACTTGGAACAACAGCTTGAAATAAGGCAAGGCCTGCCTCTGTTAGGTGACTCTTCCTACTTCATAAAAATCCACATAAATCTGGGAATCTTCTCTTGAATACACTCTATAGAGACTGAACAGCTCCAAGATCAGCAAATCCCCATTTCCAAAAAGGGAAAAAAGGAAGACCTGGGGAACTACAGGCCAGTCAGTCTCTCCTCTGTGCTGGGCAAGGTCACGGAGCGGATTCTCTTGGAAACTATGCTAGGGCATGTGGGAAATCAGGAGGTGACTGGTGACAGCCAACACGGCTTCACTAAGGGCAAATTGTGCCTGACACATTTGGTGGCCTTCTATGATGGGGTTACGGTGTTGGTGGATAAGGGAAGAGCAACTGCTGTCATCTACCTGGACTTGTGCAAAGCGTTTGACACTGTCCTGCATGACATCCTTGTCTCTAATTTAGAGATGGATTTGCTAGATGGACCACTTGGTGGATAAGGAATTGGCTGGATGGTTGCACTCAAAGTCACAGTCAATGGCTCGATGTCCAAGTGGAGATCAGTGACAAGTCACGTTCATGAGGGGTCAGCATTGGGACCAGTCCTGTTTAACATCTTCATCGGTGACATGGATGGTCAAGTTTGCCAATGACACCAAGCTGTGTTGTGGCCAACACGCTGGAGAGAAGGGAGGCCACCCAGAGGCACCTGGAGAGGTGGGCCTGTGCAGACCTCATGGAGTTCAACAAGGCCAAGCGCAAGGTCCTGCACACGGGTTGGGGCCATCCCAAGAACAGGTACAGGGTATTAGCTCTGTGAGTTTTCTTTTTATGTACGTGCATGCCTGGGTTTTGATGCTGTTTAGGGTTTTCTTTTGGGAGAGGTGGAAGGGGAAGAGAAGGAATTGAGAACTGAGGAAAAGCACCAACGTAATACTCATGGAGACTGAAATCCTCTGTTTAGTTACAGAAAAGGTTCCATTGGTGATGGAAGGAGCAACTGAACATTTTTGACTTGGTAAAACACTCCTCTGTGCCTCAGCCATGAATAGGAGGCTCAACATCTGTAAGTGATAAAAAGCACCTCAGACTTACTTTGTCAGAAACCACGCTGCAGCTGATAAAATGGTATTTTGCATAGATCCAGTGAGCAGATGTCTGAAGGATAACCCGAACTACAACAGGATGTGGGCTTTTCAGTTAAGATACAGGAAGTCCATAACATATATCATGACTATTAGTAATATGCATTATTAGGAGAGTAATGAAAAACAGGTTCACTCAGGAAGTTACTTACATAAGATGTTAAAGAACCTCTTCCTAATTTCTGTGTTTGATGGATGACTATTCATAATGAAGTCTTTAAAAAAGCTGTGCTGCTAAAATTTATTTTAAAGTAACTGCAATATAATCCTGTTTCCTGACCTCACGGTCTACCTGCCTGCAAAACCACGCTTGCAATGCAAGAAAATTAGAAAAAAAAAAATAAAAATCAAAAAATCACAATTTGCATTTTGTGCCTGTTAACACTACAGGCATGGTGGAGTTGCCCACGTAAGAGGCATGCAGTGCCAGAGGAGACAGCCTGCAGTACCTGATACGGTGAGACCAAACTAGCAGATACGGCTCAGAACCGATCAGACACCTTGTGTTTTTCTTGTACTGCAAATGCAGGCCCGGTGGGGTATCCTACGGCGTCTCAACTGGAACCACAACACCCACGTTCATGCAGTTGAATCGAGCTTTGTTTCTTGTAACGAAAAAGGGGAGGTTTGTTTCTTCCAACTCCCCTTTATCACACAAACGAAAAGGGGCCCTGCTGCGTTTACAGCTGCTCAGCAGTACCGCACATCTCCGAGGGTCCCCTCCTTTCAAGGAGTTACATAAGGCCTAAAGGTGATGAGTCGTACGAAAGCAGGAGAACAGTGGATTTAATTAGAAGAACCCCGAGTCATTTGAGCACTTAAGTAACTTACCCTTCCTGTCCTTCTTGTTGCTGTTGTGGTAAGTTTTGACCTGATTCTGTGTCTCCTCCAGGACCGGTGCTTCCTTGCGAGCGGTCTGCTGTGTTTCCTGCAGTGCTGGTGTTTTGCCCTGAACCAATGTTCCCACTAAACCCTGGAGTAGAGGTAGTGGCCATCTGGTTAACGCCGGGTGTTGCAGAAGATGCTGACAGCTGGGGCACAGAGGATCCAGAGGATGAACTACTCCCTGCTGGAAGGCTAGTGGTCCCACCACTGGGTGTGGAGTTGAATGAACTGCCTGTTGGTGGTGCCCCAGCAGCTGAAAGACACGTCGAATTTGAGGGTACGGGTCCAGTGTTCCCAGGTACTGCCTGTGTCTGGCTTGCTGGCGCTGGGGTTTGGTACTTAGGTGGTAGCAATAGGCTGCTGTCAAGCTGCAGAGTGGCTAAGTAAGGTGCTGAAAGAGCAGATAAAGAGGAAAGGAGATTAATGACAGTCTGTCAGATCAAAGAACTGCATTAACCATAAAGTCACACAGTATGTTCTGCATTTTTAGAATATTCTAACAGTATATAAATGCTAAGTGAATATAACCTCCATTATAAATATTTACTTTGGAATCCATTCTTCAGGGTTTCAGTTTTACTGATACGAATCAAATGTCTTTAAAAACAGGAGACTGACTTCGTGGAGCTTTGTAAATCGAGGTTGGTACTGACATGTCA